CGCCCTCGCAGGGGTGGCTGCGACCCCGCGGACTCCCGCGCGCGGCCCCTGTCAGCGGCAGCGGCTGCGCGCTCCTCAGCGAGCAGGGAGAGCCCGGCGAAGGGCAGGAGCACACTGTGGAGGCTCGAGGCTGCGCCCAGCGCCGCCTCCTTGCAGCAGCTCGCGGACCAGGCCGACGGCGGGGGGCACCGCACGACACCGGCCCCGCCACAGCACTCGACCGGGCTTCAGTGGTCGCCAACCCGCAAGCCAGAGAGCAGGAGCCTCCCGCCGTACTCTCGCGAGAACAGCTCCAGGGACTCTCCGTGGGCCGAGATCTTACCCAATATGGAACACCCCCGCCCCTCGCCCCCGCCCATGGGAGGGGGGGGAGAGCGCTACCGAGAAAAGGAGGAGACACAGTTCTCGCGAGAAAAGAGCAAACAGCTGGAGAGCGGAGGCCGGAACTCTCGGGGACTGTTCTCCTTCAGGGCGCGCCAGCGGTGTCGCGGAGGTGGAGGAGGCGGCGGCGGAGGAGAGGCGCTTGCCGCACAGGCCGCGCGCGCCTCTTGGTGGTCGGCGGGGCGAAGGGCCTGGCTCCGTGGCGGAAAGCCAGTGTTGGGAACCTTGCCACGGGATCTTTGAACTGCCGAGCAGTCGGCGGCAGCTGCACCACCTGCTTACTGGAACCTGCAATTTCCAAGAAATACTTGCACGAAGAGATCGGCTCCATCTGTCCGGAACGCTGTGGTTGCATTCCCATCTGCTCAAGGACGGATGACTGACTTGCCGGGATTCTGACGAAATCGGCCTCAGGCAAAATATCAGACCTGCACCAAAGCTGAAATGTTCCCCACAAACCTTCCCCACAAGCTCTTAACCTTGGGCCTGCAGAATGACCCTGAGAGTTTAAGAAGCAGATTCCCGCCCTCGCCTCCCTACACACACACACACACACACACAGTCTTAACTGGATAAGTTAGAAGTAAACATCCAGATTTTATTTTTATAATGTGGATATGTGGTTTCCATACAGCAAAATCTGCTGTCTCCCCTCTAAGAAGCACGTTTGAAATGGATCCTTCCCCATAAGTCCTCTTTATCTAGGAAGAGGATTTAATTCATACCTCCTTGAATTAAGAATAGGGCCTGGGGCTGGGGTGGGGGATGTCTCTGGGCACTGTGGTATTAAAGCAACTCTGTCTACCTTTTAGGCTACTGTTCATCCAGCCTAGAGTATTCTTGTTCTACATTCCCACATAATACAAACGTTTGGAAAAACTGAGAACAATTATGGATGTGCATAGTGGAAATGTAACCCCGTGCCTGTGCCCACTGTCACCAAGCTATGTTGTTACAATGAGCAGAAGCGAACTCTTACTCTGTCGTTATTTCTATAGCCAGAACAATTACCAAAGGGCTCCCCCACCCGTGTGTGAAGAGATCCGACAAGTCCCACCTCTCCTAGATGTCAGCTCCCTCCCTTTCCTCGCCCCCCTGGTCTCCCGCCCTTCCGGAACGCCTGGCGGGTTCGGGCCGCAACGGCCCGGGAACTGCCGGAGGGCGGCGTCGGTGTCCGCAGGGCCGCCCACCAGGCCCGAGCTGTGTGGGACCCCAGCGCCCGAACTCCCGCCCCCACCGGGGAACCAAGTGAACGGCGATCCGAAGACGTCTGCAGGTGGAGAGCGGCCAGGCCCTGGCGGGTCCCAGGGCGGAGACTGAGTCGGTTAGCCACGGGGCCAGGCTGGTCAATGTTTGCGCAATGAATGAGTGCATGACAGCGGTTCCTGGGAGCTTACCTCTCAGGTATTGTTTCTGTGTGAGCTATGACTAGAGACAACGTGAGTGCTCGGCAGGCCTAATCCTTTCTGATTTGCTAATCTAGGGTTCTGGTGCTGGGGCCTACCCCATCTTTCTCCTCAGGCTTCACCCCAGTGGCTCCTCCTCTTTGAGAACGCGCAGCTTTTGTTTATTTTGTCCCTTCTGATTGAACTCCTGCCATGCCCCCCCCTCCGCCGCCCTTCCCCTTTGTCTTCCATCAAATCCTACTTAAACATCCCATGGATCCTTCTAGAAGCCTCCATTCCTCAACCCAATAGTAGGTCCTACTCCAGAGCATCTCCTTGACATTGCACTCACCCTGCAGCATCAAAAGAATTTGTCAGCTAGATGCTGGAGGCTCACACCTGTTATTCTAGCTACTCCCAGAGGCTGAAATCTAAGGATTATGGCCTGGACAGGAAAGTCCATGAAACTCTTATCTCCAATTAATCACCAAAAAGCTGGGAGTGGAGCTGTGGTTTAAGTGGTAGAGTGATAACCTTGAGCAAATAAAGCTGGGGACAGCACCCAGACCCTGAGTTCAAACCCCAGGCCCAGCACCAGAAAAAAAAATGTCCCTTGTTTATGTGTCTGATGGACAGTGGACTGTCCCCTTAATCATTCATCTCTAGCCACTAGACAGACTTCTTTTTGCTTATGACATTTCTGTAATCTCATACATTTCCCACACAAACCTAGGTAGCAACAAGCAAATGGGGTGTTTGATAGAATTATATATGCTTAGGGTTTTTTTCCCTCAGCTTTTAAAAATCTTTAAGTAGTTGTACAAAGGGTTTCAATTTAACATGTCATTTTATGATAGGATGCATCTAGATCCATGTGACATCTACATTTTACATCTATTTTACAATCAGAAAAATTGGGCTCAACTTGTGGCTGTTAATTACTTGAGACTCTAAAGAGCTTATTAAGGTGAACATAGTTAAATATACCTGGAAAGCAACAGCACCCACCCTATGGAAGGGCCTGACATATATAGAGCAGGCCAATGATAAATCTTCATTCCTGTCATTTCCACCTGTAGAGTTTTGATACCTTTATTCTACCAAATTGTAAAGCCTGTTTGTTTGTATCCCTAGAACACTTGGAGTTCAACAAATGTTCATACTAGAGTGGTTGTGGGAATTTAATGGAATAACTTTTTTTTTTTCTGGTCACCGTGCTTGAACTCTGGGCCTGAACGCTGTCCCTCAGCTCTTCAGCTCAAGGCTAGTACTCTACCACTTGAACCACAGCGCCACTTCTGGTTTTCTGGTGGTTTATTGGAGATAAGAGTTTCACAGCCTTGCCTGCTTGGGCTAGCTTTGAACCCTGATCCTCAGATCTCCGCCTCCTGAGTAGCTAGGATTACAGGCATGGACCACTGGCACCTGGCTGGAATAACATTTTTTAAAAAGACATGTGATGCCTGGCATATGATTAATGCTCAATAATGTAAGGTGCAGGTGATGCAAATGTTGATGATGTTGGAAATGTTGGTAATGGTGATCATAATGATGAAAATGATTGGGATGGTGATAATGATGATACTGATGGTGACACTGATGGTGATGATTATGTTCATTGAAGGCCTACTAATTACAAGACATTATTTTTCCCTGGGAATACATCTATGAAGAGTCAAAGTCCTGCCTTCTGAGGGCCTTACCTTTAAGGGGGGAGAAAAAAAAACAGACAAATAGACAAATGTTAAATCAGGTACTGGAAAAGCCTGTGAAGAAAAGTAAAGGGGAAGGGATGATGACAAGTGCTACTTTTTTGATTGACTGACTGATTGATTGATTGAATTGGAGTTTGAATCTAAGGTCTACCATTTGAGACACACTCCCAGCCCTGGATACTATTTTAAAATATAGATATTAGAAGATACACTATATTGTGCACTTATAGTATTTTCTGTGAAAATTGGTGATTAACACTGACTTGAACCTCTTAACTAATTTTCCTGCAACACAGCCACATGATTGAAAAGTAAACAAGGTTTCCTTAGAGGACAGCTGGGTTCTTGTCCTGATTCTAATTATTATACAACCCAGGCTTTAAACTGTTGAGCTTTCTTTTCTCTATTTGAATTTTTTGTTGTCTTATTGTTGTTTGTTCATTTATCTGTTTGATTCAGCCTCTTACTAGGCAGTTTTTGGTTGGCCACAAACTCATAATCCTTCTGCCTCAGTCTCCCAAGCACTGAGATTATGAGTGAGAGCTACTACACCCAGTCTGTTGTCTCCATTTCAAAAATGAGAATGACACCTTGCATTCACGATAGGATGATTGTGAATATAATTTTCTTTTTTTTGTCAGAGCACTGTCCCTAAACCCTTTTGGTGCAAGGCTAATACTCAACCACTTTGAGCCACAGCTCCATGTCCAGTTTTCTGGTGGTTGTTTGAAGAGTCTCAACAGACTTTCCTACTCGGACTGACTTTGATCTGTCATCCTCATATCTAAACCTCCTAAGTAGCTAGGATTACAGGTGTGAGCCACCCACTCCCAGCTTGTGAATATACAATTGTAAAACATCTAGAAAGAGTTTTGTAAAATGGTCATACAAGTGTAAAATATTGTTATATTAAAATTATGTTTCCTTAAAAATGTTCTGAGAGCCTGTAATCCTAGCTATTCAGGAGGCTGAGATCTGAAGATTGCTGTTCAAAGCCAGCCCAGGAAAGTTTATGCAACTCTTATCTCCAATAAACCACCAGAAGTGGCGCTGTGGCTCAAGTGGTAGAGTGCTAGCCTTGAGCTGAAGAGTGCAGGGACAACACCCAAGCCCAGAGTTCAAACTCCAGGACCAAAACACACACACAAACACACGCACAAATATGCTAAGAAACAAGTACAGTGGTCCATTCATGCCTATACTCTTAGTGTATATTCTGACCTACCTGGATGCCAGTGGTTCACACCTGTAATCCTAGCTACTCAGGAGCCTGAGGTCTGAGGATCATGGTTGGAAGCCAGCCCATGCAGGAAATTCTGTGAGACTCTTACCTCCAATAAACTACTTAAAAAACAAACAAGCAAACAAAAAAAACTAGAAATGGTGTTGTAGCTCAAGTGGTAGAGTGCTTGCCTTGAACAAAAGAAGCTCAGAGACAGTGCCCAGGCCCAGCGTTCAAGCCCCAGAACTGGAAAAAAAAAATTAAAAAAGATTTCAAGGCTCTGGCTCAAACAACAGCAACAACAAAAATAGTGAGGATAGGGCTAGGAAGATGGCTCAGTGGTAGAGTTCTTGCCTTAATCTGCATGCAGTCCTAGGTTTGATTCCTCAGCACCACATAAGCAGGGAGGAAAAAGCCAGAAGCAGTGCTATGGCTCAAGTGTTAGGGCACTTGCCTTGAGCTGAAGAGCTGAGGGACAATGCCCAGGCCCAGTTCAGGCCCCACGAATAACCAAAAAAAAAAAATAGTGAGGATTTAGACTTTTAAAATTGTTTTGTTTGTTCCTCATGCAGGAATGATGCAACAAGAGAGCAGCACCCAAAGTTATGGCTATAAATCCAAGCAAAATTCTTTCACCTACGATGTTAAGCGAGACGTGTACAATGAGGAGAACTTCCAACAGGAGCATAGGAGAAGGGCCCTGTCCTCTGGGAATGTGGACATCGACATCACCACCTTCAGACACCATGTCCAGTGCCAGTACGTGTCTTCATTATTCAGCTGTTTTATCTGCTGCTTGCTTGCTTGCTTGCTTTTTTTTTTTTTTTTGGGTGGTCATGGGGCCTAAAGGCTGGGCCTGGGTGCTGTCCCTCAGCTCTTCAGCTCAAGGCTAGCTCTCTACCACCTGAGCCACAGTGCCACTTCCAGCTTTTTCTGTGTATGTGGTGCTGAGGAATTGAACCCAGGGCCTCATGCATGCAAGGCAAGCACTCTACCACTGAGCCACCTTCCCAGCCCTTCTTTCCTTCCTTCTTTCCTTCCTTCTTTCCTTCTTTCTTCCTTCCTTCCTTCCTTCCTTCCTTCCTTCTTCCTTCCTTCCTTTCTTTCTTTCTTTCTTTCTTTCTTTCTTTCTTTCTTTCTTTCTTTCTTTCTTTCTTTCTTTCTGCTCTTGGGATTGAACTAGGCCTAGGTGTTGTCCCGGAGCTTCTGCTCAAGGCTAATGTTTTGCCTATTGAGCCACAGCACCAATTCTAGCCTTTTCTGAGTAGTTTATTGGAGATGAGAGTCTTGTGAACTTTCCTGCCCAAGCTGGCTTTGAACCACAATCCTCGGATCTCAGCCTCCTGAGTAGCTAAGATCATAGGTATGAGCCTCCAGCGCCCGGCTTTCAGCTGCTCTATCTTCATCCAAGCACCTCAAGATCAAAACCTAACTCTAAATTCTGTCCCCAGAATTCTGTAGTTTATTGTGTAATTTTCCTTCCATTTTTTTAGGTGGTTTGTCTTGCAACACCTTCTTAATTATAAACCTCTTGGGCATTTTCTTAGCTCATTTTCTGACATTTTGCTAGAACAAGATACCTGAGGCTAAATAAAAGGAAATATAGGGATGGGCATGGTGGTAACATACTTTAATACCAGTTACTTGGAAGGCTGCTATAGGAGGATCATAGTACCAGGTTAACTCAAGCAAAAGCACGAGACTTTATTTTAAAAATAAAATAAAGCAAAAAATGGAATAGGGGCATGATTCAAGGGGTGGAACACTTTCAAGCCTGCGGCCCTGAGTTTAAAAAAAAAAGAGAGATCTATTTGGATAAATTCTGATAACTAGAGAGAGTCTAAAGAGCCTGGTGCTGGCACCCAGGAAAAGGCGCCATTTCTGTAAAACATGGCTGAGAAATGGCAAGTTGCGGCAGCTTGTCGAAGGTCCTGAGGCATAGGATGGGCTTACTATAACCACCTGCTTTCTGGGTTTTAATCTAATCCACAAGAGTTAGAACTCCAGAGACACAGCCTTAGTCCACTGAGGAAGGGAAGAGCTCCTGAAGCCTACTGACTTCCCACTGAGCACCACCTCGGAAAGGTTTTACTGCCTCTGGGCACCAACACACTGGGAACCAAGCTCCCAGCACAGGAGCTTCTGGGAGACAAGCCCACGTAAGTCATAGCAGGCATACAGACCTGGGGTATTCTCCCAGTACAGAGGGATGACATTTAATAAATATGTTGTTTAATGAGCTATCATTACCAGGCTCCTTACCAGAAAAAAAAAAGGCAGTGTGGTAGACTAATTAATAGAAGAATGAGATCCTCCTAACTTGCCACCAGCAGGTTCTGCCACAAGTGACTATTAGGTCCTACAGTTCAGGGCTCTCTCTTTGTCTCTCTGTCTCTCTGTCTTCTATCTCTGTCTGTCTCTCTCATGGGGCTTGAACTCTGGGCCTAGGCACTGTCCCTGGGCTCTTCAGCTCAAGGCTAGCACTCTACCACTTGAGCCACAATGCCACTTTTGGTTTTCTGGTGGGTAAGTGGAGATAAGAGGTTCATGGACTTTCCTGCTTGGACTGGCTTTGAACGGTGATCCTCAGATCTCAGCCTCCTGAGTAGCTAGTATTACAGGAGTGAGCCACCAGCACCTGGTTCAGTTTAGGGCTCTTAATCTACACTGTGCCATGAATCTTTCAGTGACCTCATTACAGAATAAATTGCTGTTTTTATTGGGATAAAACATGTATAACATGTTTTGATTTTCTTTTTCTTTTTTTTTTTTTGGTACTGATACTGGGGCATGGACTCATGACCTGGTGCTCTTGCTTGTTTTTGTTTTTGTTGTTGTTTTCACTCAAGGCTGGTCCTTTACTACTTGAGACACAGTTCCGCCTCAGGCTTTTAATGGTTAGTTGGAGAGTTTCACAGACTTTCCTTCCCATTCTGACTTTGAACCAATGTCATCAGATTTGAGCCTCCTAATTAGCTAGAATTACAGGCATAAGCCACAGCTCCCAGCCTCTTTTGGCCATTTTTAAGTATGCACCTCACCTGTGTTGTTGGCATTGGCAAAGTTATGCAATCATCATAACTATTTATTTGGAAAATGTTCTCATCACCTCAAATGGAAAACCCTGTACGAATGAAGCAGTAACTCCTGTCTCCTGGTCCATCCCATCCTCTCCCTCTCAGCCTGGTGACGTCTCTTAATTTCTATGGCTCTCATCTGCCTATCCAAGGTATTGATTGAAGTATTAATTAAATGTTTGTATTTCTTCATTGGCTTTCTTCACTTAGCATAGTATTTTCAAGATTTATCAGTGTTGTAGCACTTATAAGCATGTATTGTATAAATGTATCAGTTTGTTAACTGATACTTTGTATTGTTTCCATCTTGATTGGCACAGGCATCTGTTTGGATTCCTGTGTTTCATTCTTTTTTTTTTTTTTTTTTGCCTCCAACTGAGAGTCTGGGTGCTGTCCCTGAGCTTCTTTTGCTTAATGCTAGCACTCTGCCCCTTAAGCTACAGCTCCATTTTTTTTTTTTGGTAGTTTATTGGAGATAGAGTCTCAAGGACTCTACTACCTGGGCTGGCTTCGAACCACAATTCTCAGATCTCAGCTTCCTGACTAGGATTACAAGCGTGAGCCACCAGTGCCCAGCTCCTGTTTTCAATTCTAGAAGAAATCTAAATATCTGGAAGAAGAATTGCTGGATCATATGGGAGTTCTATGTTCATATTTGTGTGTGGAGACAAGGTCTGGCTATGTAGCCCATATTAGCCTGGAACTTACAATTCTCTGACCTTAGCCTCCTGAGTGTTGGAATTACAGGTGTGCTGTACCTTGCCCAATATTATGTTTAATTTTCTTCTTTCTTTCTTTCCTTCCTTCCTTCTTTCTCTCTCTCTCTTCCTTCCTTCCTTTCTTTCTTTCTCTTTCTTTCTTCCTTCCTTTCTTTCTTTCTTTCTTTCCCAGTTGCACAGTGTGAACTCTGAACCTGAGCTCTGTCCCTGAGCTTTTATGCTCAAGCCTAACAATCTTCCACTTGAGCCACAGCTCCATTTCTGGCTTTTGGTGGTTAATTGGAGATCAGAGTCTCATGGACTTTCCTGCTTTGAACCATTATCTTCAGCCTCCTCAGTAGGTAAGATTGCAGATGTGAGCCACCAGCAACTGGCTTTATGCTTAATTTTCTTTCTTTTCTTTTTTCTTTTTTCAGTCCTGGGGCTTGAACTCAGGGCCTGAGTACTGTCTCTGAGCTTCTTTTGCTCAAAGCTAGCATTCTGCCACTTGAGCCACAGCACCACTTCCAGTTTTTTCTGCTTTTGTGGTGCTGAGAAATTGAACCCAGGTCTTCATGCATACTAGGCAAGCACTCTACCACTAAGCCACATTCCCAGCCCTATGCTTCATTTTCTAAAAAGCTGGCAAACTGTTTTCTACAGGGCCTGAGCCATTTTATATTCCCATCTGAAATATGCAGGGATTCCAGTTTTTCACATTTTCTCCAACATTTGTTGTTTTAAATTTTTTATTAGCGTTGTTTTAGGAGGTATGAAACAGCATCTTATTGTGGCTTTTTGTTTTGCATTTTCCTTATGATGACCATAGATGATAAGCAACTTCCCATGTGTTTATCAGTATAGCTTTCCCTCAGACATGTCTATTCATTTCCTGTATCTTCTTTTTTTTGGGGGGGGGTCCAGTCTTGGGGCCTGAACT